TATATATAATACTAGAAATAAAAAATTTTTGAAAAAAATAAAATGAAGTAGGGTTGTACATACAAAAGAATGGAAACAAGACTCAGTAGGGTTACTCAATTCATACTGTACCATGTCAGTACTACCAACATCTTAACCCTACATTGCAGCTTTTTTTTGATGAGATTGTTTTCACAATATTTGGCACTAAAGCAGCAATGTAGGGTTAAGATGTTGGTAGTACTGACATGGTACAGTATGAATTGAGTAACCCTACTGAGTCTTGTTTCCATTCTTTTGTATGTTCAACCCTACTTCATTTTATTTTTTTCAAAAATTTTTTATTTCTAGTATTATATATACTAGTAATTAATGATGATATTAATAAAGGAAGGGGATATACTTAAGGTAGGGACTATACTTGTAAACTAGTGTAGTAAGAGGATACTTACAGTACACTGTTTGGAGGATGAAGGTATTTATATGGTGTTATACCTGTCTATTCCGGACACCTTGGGACCCAATAATACCCAAGCTCCTGATTATGAACCTGTCCTTATTTCAGAGGTTCATTAATACACATCTATATTTTATTTGGGACTGATACTACCTGTCCTGATTATAGAGGTGTCCTTATTTTAGAGTGTCCACAATAGGAATAGGTTATACTGTATTACTATTACTATTCACTTGAGTCCTACTACTGGTTCATTGTTTAATGTTACAATACAATCATTATGTATCATCAGTATAATATAATGAGTGGGTCTGTATCTATTCATTATATTAGGAGATATATGATCTTATGTTGGACTGTTGGGCCATTAATCCTACTAACAGACCTAAAGCTATTGAAATATCTAATGCGGTGGCTTAGATATATGGACCCCTGACCTATCAGCACAAATTGAAGTAAAGTGTAGGGGGGCCATGCTGGGTCTGAGACAGGGAGTTAATTTTAACTAAGGGGTTTCATTAATAAGTATTCTTTCTCTCTCATTGTACAGGTCCAATCACAACATCCTGATTATCAGAATATGTCCACCATATTGGAATCGGCTAGGAAATCAAGAGAAGTTGGTCAGTGTCATCTATTAGAAAACGAAGGAACCACCCTGATGTTAATGCACTAATAATGGAGTCCCACCCACTCTCATTAACAATGCTTATGATTATCTTTCCCCTCCCACTGGTTATGATAAAGTTATTAATAATGATTATTTATTAACTTATAATTAACTTTGTTATTAATTAAAAGGACAAATAATGTACATGTACATGTATAATAATGTAATTATTAATTATAAAGTTTTTAGTTTGTGAATGTCATTAAGTATCTACATGTAAATGATGATAATAATAATAAATTAATATTAGTACACTATTGCTATTGGCAGTGGTTTGTGTGGTTGTTCTTTTCTGTGTCTATCAATCAATGTCTTCTTTTGATCTTCAAGAGTATCCTCCAGGAGAGGAGTTCCAGCTTTAATCTGAATACATTTAAGTGATGGATGAATGAAGATAGTTTCATATAAATGTTGTACTAGTTCTATCCAGTTAGGTTGAGATGACTTATAATTGATATATTTACACTCTATCCTCAGTAGTCTGATGGTTGTATGTGACTGTAACATGTTAGTAACAGCAGGTAGTACCTGTTCATAAAACAATGGTGTCATTATTTGTTTCTCCTCTTCATTACTACAGCTACAGTAGGACTGATCTGGTTTGAAGTTCATTTTAAGTTCTGTGAGATTGTTCTTTTGAGAGATGACATTAATAAAAACTCTTATCTCTTCATTCAGTGGAATGGATACACTCAACTGCTGTAGACTAGTGTTGTATCTGAGACCAGTTGTTAGGAAGGACAGGAATGAACTGGGAATGGGAATGTTACTAAACCTCTCATTATTAATCTGAAGGTATTTTAGTGTTTGGTTTTGTGTTAGCATGTCTTGTAGACTAGTACCCATACTGCTGGCATATACTCTCTCCTCCTTTATCTTCACACTCAAAGCTTTAAGTGCCGTATTGGTTTGTAGAATAGTAAATAGTTCAATAGCACTCTCAGCTGTGTCTAGTGGTAAAGTAAGTGTATTCAGACTGGGATGAGAGAGAAATAGAAGATGTGGTGGGTATGGATCATGTAGTATCAGACAGTGTAATCCTTTGATATGTGGAAGGAGAGATGATGTTATCAGTTTACTACTCCTCCATCCTCCTATCTCTAGAGCAGTCAGTGGTGTGTACACCTCTACTATATTCAGTGATGATGGTAGGAGTATATCAGGTATGTCAAGTGAAAGAGCATTTAATGTGTTGTTGTCCTTTAGTAACTGCTCTATTACTCCATCAGGTAGAGGAGAAGGTGCATCATCATAATTAGCATGTATTGCTCCCTCATCTACTCCTGATGTTAATGATGTTATTGTTTTATTTCTTGTTACTCCTCTAATGACACTGATAATGGTACTTGTTATTTCATTCTTTTCATCATACCCAATCTTCATTTCTTGTAGTGTTGAATTTGTTTCTATACATTTCTCAAGTTCAGTGCACTTATCTCTGTAGTATGTGTTGTCAACTGTTGGTATAGTAGGATGTCTCATTTTTAAGTGCAGTATCTTCAATTGAGGAAGGTCGAAAAACTGTATCAATACAAGACAGGGAACATATTGACCAATTGATAATACAGAGTAGCACTCCTGAATATTGTATAGAAGTGATGGCTGTAATAATTTATATATTAATTCATCAGTGGGTCTATTCAACTCTGCCTCCAGTCTCTTACACTGGGTCTGTAGTGAGTTATTTATTAGTCCAGCAGTGAAGACTGATAGTGGCTGGTTAGATACATGGTCCAGGTGTAAGTGATTCCATGTTGTGTTGGAATTGTTTATACAATAACTGAGACACAACCAGTCAAACAATGATAATGATACTCTATCCAGACACAGTGAGTGGTTGTTGATGGATTGTGCTAATACTTGACATAATGTTGTGTTCTGTGATTCATATAGGAGTTGAAGAAGAAGAATCGGAACATTGTCAAAATCATCAGAACAGACACGATCAAATTGTCTAATCTCAGGATTCTGGTAGAAGTAGGAGAGATGGCAAGTCTCAAATCCAAACAATGGTTTCCTCTTACACTGTAAGTCAAGTTGTTGTTTATTAAAATACTGTTGATAGCTCTCATGTTCAAGGTGAGTTAGTCCTGCCACAAACCTTAGACACATTCGAAAGTGATCATCATTAAAGTGATCTTCAAAGACTTCCTCTGTCTTCTTCTCATGTTTAGCTATCCACCATGCAGCTAAAAATTCCTGTATACTCAAGTGAAGGAACTGATACTTCTCCTTATCATATTCTGTGAATTTTGTCATCAATCCAAGATAGTCTTCCTTGACTGCCTCACTCAGTGACTGTAGTTGATGTAAAGAGAATGCCATTGTTGTATTAGCCAGGTTAGTATAAGCTAAATGGCACATCTCTTGCAAAGGTTTAGCTAATTTTGAAGGTAGTGAAGAAAGACTACCTAAAGTATGAGGGTTAATGTCATGTCTTTTAACATGTCTTCTGATAGTTTCTAAGATAAAGTTCTCATAGAGTTGAGTGAGTGTTGTTGGCAAGTGTCCTCCTTCCTTACAATAAACTAAGATGACCATGGAACAGACTAGTGGTATATAACACAATGATTGGACATCATTTCGTACTTTAAGATCATTAATGAGTTTCACTGCTAGTTGTGAGTCCTTACTGCTTTGAGTTGTTGTGAAAGGTTTGCGATTTTTATCATCTTTTCTTTCTTTATCAATGAGTTCTTGTGCTAGTTTTGTATCTTTTTGAAGTGTTTGTATAATTACTGTTGATATTTCTTCCTCAGAAAACCCAATGACCTGAACATGTCTACTGAGATTAGACATGATCTCTAAAAGTGAAGAGGAGGCATAGCTACGAGAGGTAACAATTACTGAACATTGATCTAACTTCTCATTACAAATGATGCTAGCAGCTAATGAAGACTGTCTGAGTTGTTCACTTAGTTCATCCCAACCATCAAAGATTATCAGTAATCCTTCTCCATCCCTCTCTTCAAACCATTCAGGTACATTTTTATATCTATTAAGTTGACGCACAAACAGGTCAGCTAGTATAGTAGCTGTAGCTATCTTTTTATTCCGTAAAGGACAGTAAAGTACCAAGTCATACTGTTGGTGTACAAGTGGTCTATTAGACCACATATTTAACAGTTTACGACAGAGTGTGGTCTTGCCAATACCAGGAGGACCGTCTATTACTACTCTGAGGGACAGAGAACTATCTGTGGGTTGGAGGACATCTTCAACACTTATCTCTTTGTTTCCAGTTAGTTTAACTGTTTCATCAACTTTTCCTCTAAGTAGATGCCAAGCTGATCCTGCTTGTGTGCTGGAGTCTTGTTTTTCTACTAGTGCTAGTCTTCCAAAGAAATCTTTTCCAATTCTTGGTGGCCAGTCTGTAGCAACAATAGGTTGGTGTTTGTAGTGTTGTCTCATATTGTCAGCATATCCTTGAACATCATCAGGTATTGAACTAATGTATGTAACATTATCAGGTATAGGCTGACCTAATGTATTGAGATGTAAAGACTACATTGATCACTGATAATGTACACATACACACTGATACAAATATTGACATCATTGATTTAAGTTGCTTACTTATATATGCCAGAAGGTTAGATTTTGCTTTGCCTAGTTCATCAGGAAAGTCATCACACAGTTTTATTAATGTATCCCAACTGACATTTCTGTTAGCATCAAACCACCTCTGAAATACCCAATTAAGATTGGTACTTGCTGCTCCTGGTATTGGTATTAGATCAGCTGTGCTTACATTCAATCCAGCCCCTATTGTCATATAATGTTGAGCAGAAGAACCAAATATTTGTATGACTGGTTTCATATTAAGCCCCTTTTCTACAATAAATAATTCATAATATTTAATTTCATACTTGTATGAGCATACTTCCTGTATATTGATGCACTTGTAACTGATCATTAATAGCTTGTAATAAATTGATCTCTTCTCTTTTATTCAATGCATTGAGTACATCTCTCCATGTTGCTGTAGGATTCTTTTTAAGCCATTTTGAAAAGAGGGCTCCTTTACTTTGCTCAGCATCAATTGCAAAGTCTTGAATTGTTGTAATATCTTGTTGTGTTATTCCAGGTAAGAGAAGACCAAATGCCTGCCAGTTAAAAAGTGGTTGAAGCCATTGAAGTAACAAGACAATATCAGGTTGATCATCAATCATAGGACCAGGATTGAGTTCAACATCTCCTGATAAGAGGAGGAGGAGAAGTAACACTAAATAGTAGATTAGGTCAGAGCTACTGCCAATTGTAGCTATAAACAAGACTACCGACTGGAGGCAGTGGATCATAACAGTAACACCAATTTTACCTATTGTAAATACACTGTATAATAAATTATTATATATTGTCAGTTTGTTTACCAGTTTGAGAAATAAAATTAAGCTTCATGTATCTTAACAAAGATAAAAAAAGATAAACAATAAGAGACAGAGCTGCTAGCAGTTTAGATGTCTTTTCTCTCGATGTAGTGCTGCCTGACTTGCTACTTCCTATTGCAGCTTTAAATGAGTGAGAATGGCGGCCATTAGCTGGTCTACTGGAGGCAGCTTGACAGTAGTTCCACAGTCCAATACTTGCTCTCCATTGAGAGACATCAATCATCTTGTACTATAGTATGAAGGACATGGATAAAATCCTTTCTAGCAGTGCAAAGTATAACAATAATCTTCAAAAGTTAATACCTTTTTGCTGTAAATTGAAATGCAGCAGTTCAGAATTCAGATTGATGGGTGTATCAGTGTATGTGTGTGGTATAGACTATAGCACCTCATGAAAATAGTTACTGGAACATAACTACCAATAACATTGAATATCATTAAAGTATTATATTTCTGATTACAAAGCGGGGCAAATTTGGAGTAACTTCTACTGGTGTACTACTATATATATAATTCATTACAGTGCTTTGTGCATGTGTACCTAAGCAAGTCCACATGCAGGACTTTGAAAAGAAAACCCTTTCTACTAGCTGGAAGTCTGTTGTATTAACATTAATGTGATAGGTGACATACAATAATCAAATGCTAAAATGATATTATTTGTTGCACCCTACGGACTACGTTATGTATAGTTTCAAGTCATTTTAATGATAGACAAATAGTTGTCTATTTTGTAGTTTGAAATAATTAGCATAATGTGTCATGCCCACCAGCTGGCAGTATAGTCAAAGGGATGTATTTTATTTTACACATGCAAGTGGAGAGGATATACTTATACACCTTTATCACAGTATCTTATTTCTTTTTGGAGGTGTATTTTGGGTGGTTTTTGACTAAAATAACACCATACAACCAAAACTGCTGTATAACATGGTGCGAAAGTGTATAAGGTGTACCCTGCTGTCCACTCAAAATGACTATGCACCCTATTACATACTTTTGGTTATACATAGTCTCACTATAGACTGGGGTAGTGAGACTATGTACATGTATAATCAAAAGTACATACGTTGTGTTATAGCACTGCATGGTCAGTTTTGGTCACAACATAATATTCTACACTTGTCCAGCTTTACTATTTCCAATAGCATAAACTGGTACCATGACAAAATTATGTGAACAGCATCAATGCATTCACAAAATAATGTATTGTATTATTGACAATAACAATATTAACAAATTAAAGATTTTGATGAAACAAGGGAAGAGAAGAAATAGAGCAAGAAAGAGACTGAGATGATTTAATGGTGACAATAGTGAATGAGTAAAGAGAAAACAAACAATAACACAACAAATGAATATAAACAATTATTATAAAAGAAATATGAATGTCAAGTATGTACGATGATGGCTTATTGAAATGTGATCTCTACTGCCTAAAAATTATAATAAAAATTAATTTATTATACATTTACATGCGAGATGTATTATGTATTTTAATTACCTGATTTGTTGATAATAGCTACACCTCTTCCTATTGTGTCAGGTTACTATCATTAGCAATGTTATTGTTATTGAAAGAGATGACATTTAAGAGGAATAAGTACCACAATATCTTGCTTTACTACCACCACCAGACGACATTGTCTCCGTATCACAATTCTAACAATTCTATACAAGAAAGGGAGGGAAATTTGAAGGAGAAAGGGAGAAAGGAGAGGAGAGAGACAAGAGAAATGAGAGTTTAAAAGACAAGTACACTAATGGATACTTAAATCTCTTCTCCCTCCCTCTCTCTCTCTTTACTTCTTTTGAGTTTGATTGAGTACCAACTTCTTTCAGTGATTTCCTAATAATTATGTCTGCTAGAGTCCATTAATACTTTCTGCATGTCTTCCGATCATTTTGTCTTTACTTCATCAACTGCTTGCTGCATCCTCTGCTGTATAATGGGCTCTTGTTCTTACTAATGATACATTGAGAGTGAGAGAGAGAGAGAGAGAGAGAGAGAGAGTTCACATTACATTTACATTTTGTATTTTTGAGTTATGGCCATTAAGAAATACCGTGTAACAGGAAATTTTGAAGGGGCTAAAATTTTTGATGAATTACTAAATTCTGGCGATTGGCAAGTCGAAATTGTGGCCACATGCCATTGAGCATGCATTTAATGGCTCAAAATGGTGGACTTTTATTTTGGCAAATGGCTATCAAAATGCCAAATCTCCAAAGCTAATGCCCTCCAAAATTTCCCACTATATGGTATGCAAAGTACAATAGCCCATGAATTTTTCAGAAAAAATGGCTCCAAAATTACCCCCCAAATATTTATTACATTTTCTGATACATACTGATGTCCTTATGCTTTGTAAAAAGTTTGAGGTGGTTCGAACTCCATTTCTTACAATTGGCTGATTTCTAAAAATACCCTGTACTAAAGCTCATGCTTTTTTCCCAGAAAAGTGGCTCTGAAACAACCCCCAATTTTTAATATATTTTTCTCCATTTTTGATACATAATTATCGAGGCACATGCATGTCATTGTCATTACCCATCTCTTCAGCACAATCCCTGTACTTTACTTGTTACACCCGTTTTATAGAATACTTACTTATGATTCTTGTTAGTTAGACTACTTACCAATCAATTCCTGAGAGAGAAGAGCCTGAAGGGTCTTTACCAGTGTCTATAGAATTAAAATTTAGATCCTTTCATCCAGCCCCACCCATTGTCTGCAATTCTATTAGATCTAGGCCTAATCAAAATGGACCACATTTTGAGACAGCTTAACAAACTCACAAAAACCAAAACTATTGCTCGTCACTTCTCTATATCACAGGAATACTGTCAGGAACTGGGTCTGAAGAATGTTGCTCTCCGATCTCACCAACTGGAAGGTCTCAAGTGGTTATCAGAGTGTCATGAGAGAGGGCAGCATGGCTGTATCTTAGGGGATGAAATGGGACTAGGGAAAACACTTCAGGTAGAAATTTTAATGAATGAAATGATGATAATAATATTGCTTAAAATACTGGCTATCTGTCAGGTTGCTGGGCACATAAAACTGCACATTTTTAAAGTCTATTTGTCAGGCAACCTTTATCAACCATGCATGTTCAAATAATTATTGTATGATTCCTTAATTTTTTAAAATTAATAAAGCCCAATGTTTCTCAGTAGCTTAGTTTTTTTGAAATTCTCTCGTCAATTTTTGTTACCGTCTCATAGGTTGAGCATTTTAAAAATTGTTCATACACATGAGAGAAAAAGAGACTGCCTGACAAATAGCCTTGTAATTACAGACAGAGAGGCCTCTTTAAAAATAAAAGTATCGTTACCGACTGACATAGAAATATGATTGTTTTTATAGTCTATAGCTCTACTACTTTATCTACGAGATGCTTCCTCCTCTCCTTCTCCTCCATTTATTGTCATATGTCCTCTCTCTGTTGTTAGTGGATGGGAGAAAGAGTTACAAAGGTTTGGTCAGTGTGTTCTACTAACACTATAAGTACCTTTGATTATTGTAGGGCATCACCTCAGTTAAGAGTTCTTAATTTTTGTGGAGATAAAGAAACAAGAGGCTCAAAGCAAGAAGAAATACTTTTGCATTGTTACAAAGTAATGTACTATTATTATTATTATTATTATTATTATCTAGAGTGGTGCTATGATTGATCCTCCTTTTGATATACTACTTGTTCATTATGAGGTACATGTATTAATGATGATTGCAATTATTTTCTATGATTTATAATTTTAGATTGTTCTTCTGCTCTGGATTAAGAGAGGATTCACACTGTTGCTCAATAACATTCACAAGTTTAGTTGATTTAGTGTAACTGTCTATTCCTATTACTAGCATCTCTTGTCTAAAAAGTTTTGGTATTAATCTTGCAGCATGAAGCTCATTTGTTACTCTCAATAAATCACCAGGAATAGCATCAATGAGGTTACTAGAATGACTCCTCAATATATCATTAGGAGTGTTACCTGCAGTATTGTATCGGTTAATTAATGAGTGTTGTATCAAGTGTATGTTTACCTGTTATTGGACCAGGATTGAGCTCAACATCTCCTGATAAGATGAGGAGCATGTGTAGAGAAACAATATAGGGATCATTGTCAGTTAGGTTAGAACTGCTCCTTCCAGGTAAGACTACTGACTGAAGGTAATCTGTATCAGTAACAGCAACACTACATTGTACTCCATAGCAGCCTTTACCTAATTATTTACAATACCAATAAATCTACACCCAATTGTTGTTTACCTGTTCGAGGAATCATCAAGATGTGTCTTAATAAAAAGAGAGAGTGAAAGAGGAGGAGGAAGAAAGCAATGAGAAACAGAGCTGCTGGAAGTTTAGATGTCTTCTCTCCTAATCTAGTACTGCCCAACTTGCTGTCTATTGCAGCTTTGAATGGGTGAGAGTGGCGGTTATTAGCTGGTCTACTGGAGGAAGCTTGACAGTAGTTCCACAGTCCAATACTTGCTCTCCATTGAGAGACATCAATCATCTTGTTCTATATGGCACAGAAACGACGCACACCAAAAAGACGCAGCGCACAGTAACAAAAAGGGTGGGGCTGGCTTCTGCAGCTAGCATATGCATACAGCATGCAAACATAGATACTACATCTATGATGCAAAACAATAGTCTCGCGGGTGCGGGGCCAGTGGCGAAACTAGCAAAACAAGGCGTGGCTGATGTGTTGACCATACACCATAGATAATAGAGTAAATGCCCACGTTTTTTGTTAACCCCGAAATGGACAACAAAACATGTACATTAGTACCAGCAGTACAATAGTCTCTTACCTTACCTTGCTGCTAGAAAACTCATGACTTCTTTGTAATCTGTTCCGGCCCTCACCTGTTCCTAACTGTTGTGTTAGTAAGTCGTCTTTTTATTCTCTTTTGACCACTCTCAGGCTTTCAATAGAAGTATTAAATAATGAATTTACATGTATATTGCATGGCTAATGCATCACATATTTAAATGATAAAAACATTATCATTTTGTATTATCATTATAGATGAGGGACCCCACGTGAAGGGAATAGAGAGGAAGAGGAGAAGGAGAGAGAATCTGAAGAGGAGGAGTGAGTTATTAATAGTAATAGTCATCCTACTTACATGTACATGCATATCATAATTAATTTTTAAAAGTTATTTAAAAATTGCCTGTACATGGCTTTAAGTCGAATTTGAATAGTACAAAGATTTTTCTCCCCCCCCCCCCAATTTTTATAACATTTTTTGATGCATATTGATGTTCTAATTTTGTTCTTATGCTGTGTAGAGAGTTTTAGCTGATTCCGAATTTAATTTTTAAAGTTGTGGCCTTTTTTAAATGCCAATTTTTCAAGGCTATAGCCATGGTTTTTCCAAAAAGTGGCTCCAAATTTACCCTAATTTTTAATTACATCTGCTGCATGTTGATGTCCTCATGCTGTGTAGAAAGTTTGAGCCGATTCTGATTTCAATTTTTAAAATTATAGTCTTTTTAAGAAATTGATGAAATTAAAATACCCAAGGTTTTTTAAAAAGTAGCTATGAAATCACCTTAAATTTTTATTACATTTTTTGATACATACATGTACATGTACATATGTTATTTGTAAAGTCTGAGCTGATTCCAATTTCAATTATCTGTTTGTAAGAATTACCAAATTAAAAAAATAGTTTGGAAATTGCTCAAAATTCTTATCACATTATCTGATACATATTGATGTCCTTATGCTGTGTATGGAAAGTTTGAGCTGATTCCAACTTTGATTTTTCAAGTTACAGCCATGTTAATTTAATTTATACTATATCCCAACTGAGTTTGACACCAGCCGCTTGGAATTTGAAAAATGTAGCCATACATCACTAATGATGTTTTATAATGATATTCATAGAAGCATGGCCGATATTTTACAGGTGCCTAGTTGGCCTGTATTTCACTTTTAAATGGGCCTTGTTTGTTCTGATAAGCAGTACAATAGCTACTGGAGTCAACTAGTCTTCATATTGGCCATTATTATTAAAAGATCTTGCTCTGTTAGCTTTTAAAAAGAAGAATTATCAGTTTGGGCACTCGACCACATGTTCTTATGTAAACTATGACGTAGATAAATTGTCATAAAACGTCATTTTGGTATGCCATTGGGTTTATAGGGAGAACCCGGTTTTCAGGGTTCCCAAGGGCTGAGAGACCTAAGACCTGAGATCCTGTGATGGCATTGGGCGACTAAGAATCTGTAAAAGTTTCATCCTTATCCCACATTCCTATAAAAAGTTATTCCAGTTTTTCTTGGGTCAAACTCAGTTGGGATATAGTATAGTGCATTTTCATTAATTAACATGAAAAATGTCATTATTAGTAGTGGTTTATGTGGTTGTTTTTTGTGTCTATCAATCAATGTTTTCTTTTGATCTTTAAAAATATCTGCCAGTAGAGGATGAGGGTACATGTACATGTGTATTGGGACTCCAGTAAAACTTTGAATATATTCAAGTGATGGATAATGAAAATATATAGTTTTATATAAAATTAATGTTGTACTAGTTTTATCCAGTTAGGTTGAGATGACTCTTTAACAATATTGTAATGAAGATCATGTTAATAACAAACAAAGAAAGAGAGAGAGAGAGAGCCATACACTCAATGAATCACCACATGCATACTGAGCATGCGTATTAGGTACACAGTATATACAGTACACACACAATGTAAACAATGATGTCCAGTCACTTCATTACAATATGTACACACTCTATCCTCTGTAGTCTAATGGTTGTATGTGACTGTAACATGTTAGTAGCAGCAGATAATACCTGTTAATAAAAATGATGTATTTATTTGTTTCTTCTCTTCCTAAATATCGTACTGATCTGGTTTGAATTTCACTTTAAGTTCGGTGACTTTGTTCTTTTGAGAGATGCATGACATTAATAAAAGTTCTTATCTCTTCATTTAGTTGAATAGATACACTCAACTGCTGTAGACTGGTGTTGTGTCTGAGACCAGTTGTTAAGGACAGGAAATGGACTGGGAATACTATACCATTCTGTAATCTGCATTATGTGATGGATCAAAACTATCAAAGATTAATTATTCTTTATTATTCTGTTAGGTACATGTATGTACAGTGTATTACTAATAATGGGTTGTGTACATACTGTACATGTATGTGTTATTATTGTATATGTGTATCATTATTATTTGAATTATTAGTTTTATGTCTATTATTAATTGTGTCCTGGTTTGACCTTAGACTAATTTGTGCAAGTGTGGTTATGTGAGGGATGACAGCTTGGGCTTGCTCAGGTTATTATCTAACTATAGGAGCTCTCAATGTCATGTGTGTGTCATATGCATAACTGGTTTTAACTTGTTTGTGTCACATGATTTTTTAAAATGATATAAAGGTGCCCAACCATTTCTGGTGGGGACAGTTGGTTCTGTGGCCAAAAAGGTTCTTGTAGTTGGCGTAAGCCCATGGGCACATGTGGATCTCTCACAGTTATTGATCTCAAAGTACTGCAGCGTTTGGTTTTGTATTTGAATTGACCAATCAGACATAAAGCATACATGTATGTACATGTACCTGATTTACCACTGTTCAGCAATATACTGTAAATGATTACGGTAAAGCTAGAAAATTTGGAGTATTAAAATTTGGCGAAATGACTCTAAGAGTTTTGGAGGCTTAAATTTTGGGGGAATTTTAACTCAGGGCATGCTTCTATAGAACCATATCAAATTGGAGACTAAAATTAACTTCTATTTGTGCTAAGTTTTCACTCCACGAAATTTTCTAGCTAGATAGTATTACATTTTACTGTACATAACATGTTGTATGTAAGATAAAATGGTCAGTTTGGTGACCAAAAAATTGTAACAATCCTCTTAAATTTTGAAGGATTTTAAAGCAAGGTAAGGTAGAAGTGTTGTCCTTTAAGAGAAGATGAAGTAACTTAGCTTAGTTGATGTGCTGAGATTGTAAGCATGCTAAAAGCAGTTTTTTTTAATTACATACATGTATCTTCAATACTAATGTAAGTGCAAGGTTACTTTAATTGCTGGTGTATTATTTCATGTGATGATTGAAAATTCACCTTTCCTATTGTTGCATTGGTAAAGCCAATTAAGCCAGTATTCATTATGTACTATCATAACTTCCTTTAGTCACAAAATTTTTGATCATTTTAGGTATCACCCACTTTTTGCGTCTAGCTGACCTTCTTTGTCTTTCTCTCCTCCTTTCACTTTCTTCATTTTGTTTTGTCACATCTGGTTATTGAAACTTTCTCTCCTACTCTACTTTGCTTTGTATTCTTGGTCATTCCAACTTCTTCATTTTCTTATCGTTCATTCTTGCTCTATCTTCATTTAGCTACTTCAATTTCTACTTCAATTTCTGTTCTTGCTTATTTATGTACACATTTTTTGAAATGGTAGCCAAACCATCTTCTGGTATCACACTCAAGCTACATGTAGAGGAACAGCTCACCTGTCCTGTGTGTCTTGACATAGTATTATCATTGACATTGTAGTCAAATTGATGGTGCTGATCTATTGTTCCAATGCCCAAGGAATGTCACACTGTTCTATGTGTCCAAGATGTTGAATGTTGGCTGTAATGTGGTATGGAAAGAAATGTGAATTTATTAATTGTACTAAAACTGATTTAGTCTGACTAAAACTGATTATACCTATTGGAATTTTTTTATTTTATTACATTTTCTCATAAAGTTTCTGCAATCACAATGATGCAGCATACATGTAGTAGATTTAATGTTATGTAAAAATAATTAACATGAATTCTTTTAATTATAAACTATCACTATAATGAATAACAACACATTAAGTGTACTTTTATAATAATAATATTATTATTATTATTATAAAACAATAACAATAATAATAAAGGCTCTAGAGAAGAAGAGAGGAAGGGGAAAGGGAAAAGAGAATAATTATAGTGATTATATAATTATAATTATAATGATCAGTTTAATTATAATAATAGCATATTGTTCATGCATGCATGGAGAAATTAATGTACCATCAAGGTTGGGAGGGTCGGTGTTTGATAACGTTGTAAATCGTAAAAGCAAAATGTTTCTATTAAATATTCAACTTTTCTGAATTTTTCCTTGATGTTTTCAGCAGTAACTCCCATAAGTGAAGACTTTGTTGTCCTACCATAACTTTCTATGCTGTCAGGATGAATAGGATCACGTTTGCTTGATAATAATGGCAGTACTTTAGTATACTTTTTGTCTCTGGCAATCATGAGTGGAGTGATTCCATTGTTATTTTGTGCATCAACATTTATATTCCATAACAATAGAATCTTAATGAGATCAAGTATGATATCTTCACTGCTGTTAGACAGTAATACATAATGTAGTACATTGTCTCCATCATCATCACAAATATTAGGATCTCCTCCATTCTGTAGTAGTGTTTGTACAATGTCCTTGTGATCACATGCAAACATTAAAAAAGTTTCACCAGTTTCTTGTTGATGGTTTGTATCATGAATCTTTCTTAATAATGATTTAACTAGTTCTAAATGTCCTTCAATGCATGCAATAACTAAAGATGGGCAAGAAATCTTCATTGCTTCTTTATATGTTGATGCTGGTTGCATAATTGTACTTATTGCTTGAAAGTATTTGCTTGATGATAAAGAAGTGACAGGATTATAACCAGCTTTAAGTAACATATCTACTGCTTGTACATTACCAATAGTAGATGCTAGTACTAGGCTGGTAGGATCATCTTCACATTGTGGTGTAGCCTGTAGTAGTAGACAGAGTATCTCAATTATATCAGCCTCATTAGTTTTTGAAATAAACTGCTTTACTTCTTCAACAAACTGTTCAACCGTAATTTCTAAATCATCTGCAAAAATTTTTGCTAATGTTGGACGTAATCGCACAAACTTAATCCAATGGCTTTCCTTCATTAATTTGCCTACACACAATTGAATTATTGACATTTCAATCGATACCCCAGCCTCATTTAGCTCAACGCTGATAACATCTGTAGTAGCAGCTCCAAATTTCAGTAATTTATGTACAATAATTTTATGTCCTAAATTCATTGCACTAGCCAAGGCAGTTTTTCCATGTTTAATTTTAACATGAGGATCAGCACCAGCATCTAATAATAACTGAACTATTTCAGAGTGCTCTTTTTCTGTATTACATGCAATCATTAAAGCAGTACTACCATTTTCATTTTTAGCATTAATATTTTTCTTGATAACAGCTTGTTCTTTTGAATTCAGCATGTGTTCAACTATTTGAGTGTGACCATTATGGCAAGCCAACATTAAAGCATTCCAACCATTATTGTTTGGAACATAAGGATCAACTTTTTTTTTCAGCAACAGTTCAACTATTTTGGTGTGACCATTTTGAGACGCCAACATGAAATTATTCCAACCACCTGCTTGTTGAGTTATATAATCCACTCCTTTATTAATCAGTAGCTCAACAACTTCATAGTTTCCATAGTAACTAGCAATCATTACAGCATTTGATCCATCTGATAATTTCAGGTGAGGATTAGCATTAGCTTGTAGTAACATGTAAATGATTGAAATGTAATTAAGTGCGCTTGCTATCATTAGTGCAGTCCATCCTTTATTGTTCCGAATATTAACATTGCCTTCTTTTAGTTGAAGAAGAAACTCTACTGCTTCATTATTACCAACTCTGACTGATGTAAGGAGAGCTAGTTCTAAAGGTGAAATTCATATTCTCTTCGTCTTGATGGACAGGATGATCATTAATGTATAAACTAAATATACCAATGAGACGCATAAACTGTAACTTTCCTCCAGTATATTCCTTTAGACTATCAGCTGTACAGTCAAGGACATAGTAATGTATTGTTACTGAGCCAGTTAAAATCTCAATGTACTGCAGTATTGATTGCTTTAAATCAAGTGGCAGCATTTTTTCTATTAATCGCTTCAATCCCTTCATTTTTATTCCACTCCATCTGTTTTGTAATTTTATTATGATCTTAGGCATTTTTGTTAAGTCATTTGCCAAATATGGCTGGTATGAATTTTCTAAGTCATTTTTCAGCTGTTTGATTGGTATTGAAGAATAAAATATTTCTACAACTTGATGATGTGTACTGAGTTTATTTGCAAGTTCTTGTTCCTTTGGTATGAATTCTTCACACATGTCCATTATCAGGTCACAGTCAATGCTGTCATAAAGAGGGCGGATAATGTCAAATATTATTTTGACAGTTTCTGCGTTATCTATTTCAGTAGCAATGTTTTTATGATCAGTCATATAACAACTGTTTTGAAGCCACAATTTAATAGTGCTCAGTGAATCTGGATTCTCCTCTACAAAGTTGATAAATGTTTTATTGACTCTTACCATTAATGAGGTAAAGTTCTTTTCAATTTCACTTAATGAGTTTTGAGTTTCTATTTCTTCCTCTTTTGTTTTAAACTGGTGAATCTTTTGGTCATTAGATATATTATAATATTCTATTGCTTGTATTGACGCATTTAACACAGAAGAGTGTGGTATAGTTTTACGTAACTGGCGTAATATAGAGGTAGCAATATCTGTTAGTGTATGCTGTTGTTGGTTTATTAATACATGACATACATCAATAAGATACTGCTCTGGATCACTAACACTCACTTCCAACTGTTCCTCTAGCACATGAACAAGATAGCTAGCTTTTTTATTTTCAGCTAATCCTAATACATGCATATCCCCTTTAGTTTGTTGTGGTATCAGACCTTTAGCATACAGTGCATCAGTTACATTGCATAGATTCACACTAATAGCATGAACTAGTTTATCAGAATGCCTTTGTAGTATATCCTTTGGAGTTTTACCTGTGTAGTATAGGGTACCAGTTAATGAGTGTTGTATTAAGTGTATATGTTTACCTGATGTAGCCTCATCAGTTAGGTCAATTACTTCCATACTTTCTGTTCCTTCAGTAGATTCCAATATCATTTGATGCTCAATAGTTTTAGCTAGTTCATTCTCTTTACATTGTTTCAAAGCATTAATGACATCTCTCCATGATGCTGTAGGATTAACTTGTAACCATATCTGATGTATTGCTGCTTTGGCATTTTTTTTTGTTTTATCAATTATATTGACATCAGATTGTGTTATTCCAGGAAGATAAAGAGCAAATGGTTTCCAATCAACAAGTTGTTTAAGATACTTCACAAATAATTGACGAGATGGTTGGTCATCAATCATAGGACCAGGATTGAGTTCAACATCTCCTGATAAGAGGAGGAGCATGTGTAGTCGTAGACAAACAATCAAATAGAGATCATTGTAAATCGGGTTAGAACTGCTGCCTCCAGGTAAGACTATTGACTGGAGGTACTTTGTATCAGTAAAAGTAACATCAGTAGTACATTGTACTTGGTAGCAGTTACCTAATAATAAAATACCAGTAGATATACAAGTACAAAGTTACAATAGTTGTTTACCTGTTGGAGGAGTGATCAAGATATGTCTTAATAAAGAGAGAGAGAGAAAGAGGAGGAGGAAAGCAATAAGAGACAGAGCTGCTGGCAGTTTAGATGTCTTCTCTCCTGATGTAGTACTGCCTGACTTGCTGTCTACTGCAGCTTTGAATGAGTGAGAGTGGTGGCCATTAGCTGGTCTACTGGAGGCAGCTTGACAGTAGTTCCACAGTCCAATACTTGCTCTCCATTGAGAAACATCAATCATCTTGGCATAAAGGACAGTACTGTGTAGTCATCCTACAGGAAGTAGATCTATAATAATCGTGTACAATGTGTAGTATAATGTAGATATCACTGGAGGCTGGGCTTATTCTTATCACATACATTGTATATATATCCTAGTATATTTAATATTGTGGATGATGGTATAATGTACACACATACATGTACATGTACATGCATGCATCTTTGCTTATTAAGATATTTTAGGGCCCCATGCTTTCATTGGCTCCTTGATATTCAAATATTATACAGTATTCACATGTATATAGTTATTGTGTTAGTATAGGCATACAATATACATTCTATTACATATACCGTTGACTGTATTTTCTGTGGTACATATTATATTATTCATAAGTGGCCAAATATTGTTCAAAAGCTCATCTATTGGACAAGGTCATATGAAGCACTATATACATCATACTGCTATAGTGTACATTGCATAGTAAGGTTTGTTTTGTAATAGGTCTATCATACCCATATCACATTTTATCACCTCATCCTCTTGCTGAATTTATAAGACCTTTATTCATTAGTGCATGTATTCTCCTCTCTATTGTTTCTTTCCATTTCTCTGTTTCCATCTCTCCAGCACTTACCTTTAATGCCTAATAGTACATTTCTAATAACACCTAGACAATAGTGGTAAATTGGTAATACTGTATTATACTTATTAATGAACCCTGACAGTTAACAGAGCTGTACTGCTGTAGGGATAGAAAGGGGAGGAAATGTGATATACCTGTTTACAGTTATGTACACATTTCCCAGAAAAGAGTAGTAAAATGGGAGTGAATAGTTTGTATAGCTATAGTGTTATCAATCCACCTCTTTCTTTTTAAGCTCATACCACAAGTATCTACCTAAGTAATGGACTACACTAAGTGTGCATCCAATCAGTGTAGGCCAAATAATCTATTTAATGTTTAAACCACATATTGGTTGGCGAATCATCATAATTATTTTTTTTTAATTTCAACTTTGCAATTGTACTCTTCAGGTGACCCTCTTGCATTCACTTACATGTATGAGATACATGTACATACATTATACCTATACTAGTTGTTTTTAATGGGTCAGGATGATCTTTCAAGCACTACAGGACAAATCTTGCACACGAGACAACTTCAAAAAGTTGCCAATTTTTGTCTTTGCCTTCATTTTCCCTGTCAACAATAGATTTTATTACAATACATCGAAATTTATCTTTCTCAGCAATAGCATCAGTGACCAAATGTAAGCCATTGGCTTCAATTTCTCCTCCAACTTGTTCTAGTATTTCCTGGTATCTGACCTTTTTTGTCTGCCATCAAAATGAGATAATAAACAAGTGAATGTGGCACATTTTCTGATCTTATGTTTAATATCTCACCTTTTTGAGTGGACTTGATTCTGAGATCTCAAATGTTATAAAAAGGTTTTACGTAATTGTATATCTTTCTATATCAGCTTTAGAAAAGCAATTTTTGTTCCACAACGCCACACTCCTTACTATTATGTAAAGCCGAAATGTTGTAGAGTAACTCCAGACTGTAATAACATTCACTATCCCACTCTCTCTCTTTCTCTTTCATAGTAAAAACCATAAGATTATAAGAATAAGATCCTCTCATGGTTTGATACATTAATCATTAAAATAGCTGGCATCTATTCCACAAATATCAATCTTAAAATGATAAAAAATACATGTGTGCTTAATATAGAATCCAATTTCAAATATGTAATCATTATCTATTATGAAGTGATCTAGTGTTACTGTTAATATAAAAGTCACTTTTAGTTTGGCGAGTTCTTGTGTGACGGGTTTGAGTGGTGGATGGTTTTTCATTAGAGTCCACTAGTGCTCGCATGAGCCCAAAGTGTGATAATAGTAACTTCCATGCTACACCCCAACCTAACAATAAAATGAGGATCATTAATAGTTGTACTAATAAATGTAATAAATGTATGACTGCAAACCAAACTGTAAAAATTAAGCATTTAAAGAAGAAGTAGGTCTTCATTTATATTAGCACATGCTAACTTGTGAATACAAGTGCATGCATTTACATGTATATGTACATTGTATATGTAAATTGTACACCATACATGTACATCCAAGATTTTACAGTATTGCTGTATAAAATATTGTGCGACAAAAAATTATAGCTACAGCATAAGGTATATGGAATACGGTATTGGTCAAGGATATTACAAGAACTTTGGCCTGATTTTGGACCAACTTCAAAAAATTTCTAAAAAATCTAATCTTAATCGGAATCAGCTCAAATTTTCTATACACATAAATACACATATTATGCATCAAGAAAAAATATAAAAATTAAGAAATCGCTTCTTTTAATTTTTGGCAAAATTTGGCCAATGACCCTATACTATATAGTACAGGGACTTTGACCTGACTTTGGAGCACCTTCAAAAAATTCATAAATAATTTAATTTTGATCGGAATCAGCTTAAAGTTTCTAGACAACATAAGTACATGTAGATGTATATGTATAATGTATCAGGAAAAATATAAAAATAAAAAATCAATTCATTTCATTTTTGGCAAAATTTGGCTAAAGACTCTGAACAACAAAAGTACAGGGACTTTGGCCTGATTTTCGAGCAACTTTAACAATTCATAAAATATATAATTTTGATCAAAATCAGGTCAAAGTTTCTACACAGCATACATGTAAGTACACCATATACATGTATGCATTCAGAAAATATAAAAATCAAGAATTCTCTTCTTTTAAAATTTTGGCAAAATTTGGCCAATGACCCTATATGCATTTTGGTCTGATTTTGAAGCAACTTTTAAAATCCATCCAATTCATATCAGAATTAGTGATGAAAATTGATTATATATTTTCCATCACAGTTTACCCTTAATTTAGTGTATTAGAAACAAAATACTAATCCCCCACTAAACTCCCATTATGGCTTAGGGATTTGAATTAAAATCAACAGTAATTATGGTTTGTGATAAACACATTACAAGGAGATCATTTGGTTGTAAACTTTAATCAATCTTTAAATACTGCTAGATTAGGGTACATGTACATGTCTGTTTATTATCATTATACTTCATAGTAAACTTACAAAACAGCACAAAAAGAAATACCAATCCAATCGCCACCAGCAACGAAATGACAAACATAAGAACATCAGAAAAAGACGCCATTTTCTGAAAATTTTAACCCTTTAAAACCGACTCCACCCAAAAGTTAAACAAAGATGGCGACTGGGTCTTTACTGGAGCAAACAGCAAGAAAGTGGCTGGAAGGTAATATGGAAGGAAGCAATGCAGACTATGACACAAATACTAAAAGACTTAATGTTCAAACCCCGGCAGGAGACTTCTATATAATAGATCCAGAAGGAAAAGAAGATAATTGGGTAAGACTGTGCTACCCTAGGCATTGATAAAGCTGATATATAAAGCTTTAGTTATATGTTTATGATAATGTATTTATGTGTTATATGCTTAGTTATATGTTTCAATTACAGTTGGATGTTATGTTATAGGTGTTACAAAATTGAGTAAAGCTACATTGTACATGTACATGTACATATACGAGGTGTCTGCACAGGGTTTCCCATAGAATTTTGACATTGTGCTCATGCAGCTTCTTGACAGTGGATTGCATGTTCAAAATTATACCAAAGACCCTGTACTGTTGTACAGGGTATTTTGACGAAAATTACAAGGAGAGAGTTCTTCATTTTTATAATCTTTCCTAATACATATACATGTCCTTATGATGTGTATTGAATTTGAGCTGATTCCAATCAAATTTGAATTTTTTATAAATTTTTTAAGTTGCTCAAATTTGGGCCAACTAATAAAAGCTATAGCCTTTGTTTTTTGGCTAGATTTAGTCAAAAATGGCTAGGAGAAAATTTTTTATTTTTGTATTTTTTCTTATACACATACATCTTCTAATGCTGTATATGAAGTTTGAGCTGATTCCAGTTAAGTTTAGATTTTTTATGAATTTTAGTTGCTCCAAAAGCCATGGACTATTGTGGTGCTTAATAGTCTTGTTTCATTTATTTAGCCTGCTTTGTGGGAAACCCTGTGTCTGTATGAAGTACTTTGACATACATGTACATGTACTGTATTTTTTCTACACATGTATGTTTCAAGTATAGCCTATGACTGTGAATACTGTGCTTGCTACAAAATTAATGTACATGATAATTTGGAATTTGTGAATTTTAAATGTAGTGAGGAACTAGACATTGCTTTTTACACAATGTATTTTATTCTAATTTCAGACTGTATGGAGTGATGATACTAGCACTGCTCAGCGTTTCAGTCCTCATATTGATTACTTCACATTCAATAAGACACTGACTCAAGTATTAGAGAAAATCAAGGAATGCATGACAACAGTGAGTACCAGTCTTAAACTATTGTGTATTTTATTTTAAAATTTTTTACCATGAAAATAAAAATTACTGTATGAGTGATTCACAATACACAGTTGTGTACTTAAATGTGTTCATGTGCATTAAGATTTGAAGTGCCTGGTACATGTACTGTACATAATAGGGTAAGACAAGGAGAGAAAATTTTCTATTTTTTGTTATTGTTTACTTTTAGTACATGCACATGTACATTCTCATCAAGTCACACCTTTAGCTAGATGTACCGTATTTCTTTAAATAAAAGCCGGATGCAAATAAAGACCAGGGTAGCAATAGAATTCAACGATAAATACGCAGATCCAGCCTTTATGTAACTCAGTAGCCTTGTGGATACTGCCTTAAGTTCCTGAAGTCAAATGCTTAAGATCACTGGTTCAAATCCCGTTCTGGTCCTACATGTAAGTTTTTAAAATTTTTTCAAGGTCCAAATACCATTTTAGGAAATAGACGCCCGGTCTTTTATTTAAGGAAATACGATACATGTACATGTACACACATGTACATGTACTTATTGTATATTTCAAAATTTCCACTAGGAAAAATTAAATTGTGGTAATTATTGTTTTTAATTCTTTTACCAAATTGTAGTCAGCATCAGCCACCAGTGACAGTGGAGGGGAGGAGGAGGAGGAGGAGGAAGATGGAGAGGATGATGAAGGATATGATTATTACGGACTAGATGATGATGATTATAATGATGATGATGATGATGTGAAAGAGAAGGAACAGTAAGAGATAGAGAAAGGGGATTGTATGAGGCGGGAGTAAGAGTGTATTAATGTACATGTACATTGTATATGCATGTAATACTTGTCTAATTTATGAGCAACTTTTAAAATCATAAAAATCCAATTTTGGAATTCAGGTAAAATTTCTACACAAACACATTGAGGGTGAGGCTACACCCACCCCTGTGTTTGCAGATTATTTCTTTGAGGGTGTCAGCGCCTTTTCTTTCCTCTAGTCTAGAGTACCATTAAGTCTACACGTACACTGTAAATGTGCATGTATAACTAGTACAGTTTATGTAATTGGATTTCTTGTTAAATTTGCATGTACTCTACCTTTTAACTGAGATTTAAAGCTATAATTATTTTCTCCTGTCTATAGGAATGAAGATGAACAGGAAGTATCAGCTGATGACTTTTTCACTGGGGATGGTAGTCCAGGAGCTGTACACAGATTACTAGCAGGTTATTAATCTACATGTACATGTATGACAATATGTGTGTAAGTAATACATGCTACAATGTACAGTGTATGTACACATATGGTGATACAAATGTACATCTACATGTACATGCACATTTTGTAAATGTACTTGTATCAAGAGTACTTGATTGGGGGTTGCCCCATCATGTACTCTTGCTTGTATTAAGATGTACTTTTAATGCTCTAGACCATTTATTGAGTCATAACTCAGTTATATGTGTAGCTTTGTTGCTCTTGATATTATTGATAAAAACAAATTTTAGTTTATTGTCTAACAGGAGTGCAGTACTGATACTTAGGGTTCCCACAAAACATGCTAAGTGAGCTAGACAGTATAAGCTTCATGAGCTAAAATCACTACAATACAGCACATGGCATTCCGGGCAACTTTGAAAATTTATAAAAATCAAATTTGATTGGAATCAGCTCAAGTTGATACACGGACGTGTGTATATATCAGACAGAAATATATAAATGGAGAATTCTCTTCTACCAATTTTTGATGAAATTTGGCTGAATACCAAAGGCTACATTACATGTGCATGTACAGCCTTAGTTTGGTCAATTTATGAGCAACTTAAAAAATTTATTAAAAATCTGAACTTGATTACAATCAAATCAAATTTGAAAAATAACATCAGAACATGTATATGTATGTGTATCGGAAAAAAATAATGAAAATGGAGAATTCTCTCCTAGCCATTTTTGACGAAATCAGGCCAATAGCCTTTGTTCATTGGCCTGATTTTTGAGCAACTTTTAAAATTTATTAAAAAATCCGAACTGGATCAGAATCAACTCAAATTTGAAAAGTAACATAAGGACATGTATATGTATCAGAAAAGTTTTTGATACTTTACTAACCATTTTTGGAAAAAAATTTGGCTGAAGGCCAAAGGCTGTATTAATAGCCTTTGGTTGTTTGCCCAATTTTATCTGTATACATGTACATTGACACATACATGTACATGTACATGAACATATATGTATATTAGTATTTTAATTCTTCATTCTATCGGCATGATTTTTAGATCTAAAGAACATGAATAAGTCAGATGGAAAGTTTGGTATCTCAGGCTGTCCTAGAGGAGTACGTTATCATGAACCAGTGATAATAATAATATTCCTGCAATATATTATTTTAGGACAATTTATTTGTTTGGGATGTGTAATTATCAGACTTTGATACAAAATCACTACTATACCAAGATTTAGAGGCATATGCTAAAAGAAGAAATAGAAAAGTCAGTTATAGTACAATCATTTGTCAATTTTGTCATTTTGGTACATTGCAGCCTGTAATTGATATTGAGATGAAGTTTCCAAAGGATTATCCAATGAATCCACCTTTTGTACGAGTACTAAGACCCAGGTTTCAGTTTCTTACTGGTGAGATTGTAGTAATAATTACATGTATGTGTCATAGTAAAGTACCATATACAATGTAGCTGGAAAGTTTCATGGCCAAAAACTTTCATGGTTTTTGTGGTTTGGAATGACACCACGAAATTAAAAACCACGAAATATTTGCAGGTTAATGAAAGGCGTGGAAGCTGCACTGATGATCCACGAAAACAAAAACCACGAATAAACTGTGAGCCACCAAATCATGAAAGTTTTTTGCCATGAAACTTTCTTGCTACAGTGTATATGGTAGTATAGTAATACAGTATGCATGTACTTATACATGTACAAATGTACTTATTATTGGTTATGTACATGTACATACTATATATTTCATGTGGTGTAGTAGATGTACACACATGTAGATGGTGTGCCAATTTCTTCACAAAAAAAACATATACATGTACGTGTAAGAGATATCACTTTTTGGTTTTTTACATATTCTTTCAGTTTTAGCTGATTCTAATCAAGATTAAGGATTAAGTTTCCTTTTAAGTTGCTTTAAAATTTGAAGAAAATATCACTGATATACATTTACATGTACATGTAGTAATGAAATGGTAATTATGATATACATGTACATGTACACATGTATATGTAGTATTTTATGCATGTACATGTAATGTATATGCATCTACATTACATGTATTACTTCTTTATAACCTATTACAGGTCATGTTACTATTGGTGGTAGTATATGTATGCAGATGTTAACAAGGTCAGGTTGGTCTCCATCTAATGATATAGAGGTACATGTATTACTCATTATTGTTGTACATATACACTGTAATGTAGCTTCTTTTTGTTTAATAATTACTACTACATGTACCTTCTTTTTATGCTGTAATGTGTTAAGCCAAATTTGTTAAGCGAATTAGCCTGTAGAAAGTTAATTGGTGAATTTTATATTGTCGATTTTGTGCCATGTGCCACTGAGCATGCTCAGATTGAAACAAAATGGCTGATTTTACATTGGTGATTTCTTCATAAAGCTGCCAATCACCAATATTAATTTCTTGTCAATAAATCATCTTGTACAGTATTATGTTTGCCAATTATACAGTGCTGTGAAGAATAAAGTGACATGTACATGTAAATTTTGATGTCATACATGTAATTAAATGTACATGTATAACATACTGACAAAATATGGACAGACATATGAATTTCGATACTTCCATGGAGCTTTAACTCAATATTTCTCTTTATTATACTTGTTAGTATTAATAAACACATTTTCCCAACCTTGACAATTTGAACATTTTCCTTTTTTGTTTCAGAGTATATTAGCTCAAGTTAGAGCTGAAATCATGTCGGATTCAAATGCTCGTCTTGATCTCTCATCTAGTGGGGACTATTCTGAGAGTGAAGCCAGACAAGCTTTTGAAAGAATGGTTCATAGATATGGCTGGAACAAATAGTATAATTATTTTTTCATAAATTTTAATTTAATGTTGCGTTTTTAACTATTGTTGAAGCTACATGTGTCTTTTTTCATTGTTTTTATTTTTATTGTGTTATATACTTTTATACTTCATAGTTACTCCTTTCATGGGAAGCTAGGCTGGTGGCTTCATTTATATTCATAGAATTTTAAAATTTCCAATGTCTCAGCTATGCTTATGCATGTACCTTCCTTTGTTTCCACACTTAGGCCTATGAACACTTGCTATCTTTCAATCAATTGAATGTACTAATAGTAATTAATTAATTTTACAAGTTAATAATAAACTCGCTAACACTCTGTAATTAGTTTTTAGTGTAATGTATTTTGTGTTTATTATTTTTGTTGCAATTATATTAAATAATTATGCATTCAGTTACATGTCTTTTCTTTAAATTCACCACAGGTAGTGGTTTGTGTGGCTGCTCTTTTCTGTGTTTATCAATTAAAATCTTCATTTGATCCTTAAAAAGAAATGTGTCTTCAGCATTAATCCCAATATATTCAAGTGATGGATGGACAAAGATAGTTTCATATAAATTTTGCACTAGTTCTATCAAGTTAGGTTGAGATAACTTTTGATTAATTTCTTGACACTCTAATGACTCTATCTTCAGTAACCTGATATTTGTATGTGTCTGTAGCATGTTAGTAACAGCAGGTAGTAAGTGTTCATAAAACAATGAAGTCTTCATTTCTTTCTTCTCTTCCTCACTACAGTTACTGTACAATGGATCTAGTGTGAAGATCATTTTAAGTTCTTTAAGATTGTTCTTTTGAGAAATAACATTGGTGAATGTTTGTATCTCTTCATTCAGTGGAATGGATACACTCAACTGCTGTAGACTGGTGTTGTGTCTGACACCAGTTGTTAGGAAGGACATGAATGAACTGGGAATGTAAATACTATTGATAAGAATTTTATTTAATTTTTTGAAGCCTTTAATCTGAAGGTATTTTAGTGTTTTGTTTTGTGTTAACATGTCCTGTAAATTAATACCCATATTGTTGGTATATACACTATCCTCCTTTATCTCCACACTCAGAGCTTTAAGTGTAGTATTGGTTTGTAGAATAATAAATAGTTCACTAGCACTCTCAGCTGTGTTTAGTGATAAAGTGAGTGCATGTAGACTGGGATGAGAGAGAAATAAAATATTTGGTGGGTATGGTTTAGGCAGTGTCAGACACTGTAACCCTTTGATACATGGAAGGAGTGATGTCATCAGTTTACTACTCAACCATCTTTCTCCTATTTTTAAAGCAGTCAGTGGTGTGTTCACCTCTACTATATTCAGTGATGATGGTAGGAGTTCATCAGGTATGTTCAGTGAAAGAGCTTGTAATGTGTTGTTGTCCTTTAGTAACTGCTCTATTACTCCATTGAGTAGAGGATGAGGATGACAAAATATGTCTAAAGCATTTAGTAATAATTTTGGAACGATATTTAGAGTTACATTTAGCGTTAGTGATGTTATTGTTTCATTTTTTGTTACTCCTTTAATGACACTGATAATGGTACTTGTACTTGTTATTCTCATAAATTCAATCTTCATTTCTTGTAGTGATGAATTCATTTGTATACATTTCTCAAGTTTAGTGCACATGTAGTTAGTATTGCCTGCTGTTGATAGATCTATGGCTGTAGGACAACTCATTATTAAGTGCAGTATCTTCAATTGAGGAAGATCGAGGAACTGTAACAATACAAGACAAGGAACATATTTACCTGGTTTTAATTCACAGTAGCACTCCTGAATATTGTATAGAAGTGATGGTTGTAATATGTTATGCATTGCTTTATCAATGTCTACAAAAAAGTTTGCCTCTAATCTCTTAAACTGGGTTTGTAGCAAATTGTAGACTAGAGTAGAGAAGACTGCAGATGGCTGAAGCTGAAGCAGCTGAAGTAAAAGTTCCGGGAAGTGCAAGTGACTCCATGTTGTGTTGGAATTGTTGATAAAATAGCTAAAACACAACCAGTCAAAAAACGATGAAAAATGCACTACTTTAAAAAGACACAGCGAGTGGTTATTGATGGATTGTGCTAATACTTGACATAAAGTTGTGTTTTGTGATTCATACAGGAGTTGAAAAAGAATCGGGGAAAGTCTGGGAAGATAACAAGAACAAGTTTGATCATCTTTTGCTACTCTAATTTCAGGATTCTGATAAAAGTAACAGAGATGAAAAGTCTTAAACAATGGTTTCTTCTCGCACTGTAAGTCAAGATGTTGTATATTAAAATACTGTTGATAGCTCTCATGTTCAAGGTGAGTTAGACCTGCCACAAACCTTAGACACATTCGAAAGTGATCATCATCAAAGTGATCCATAAACACTTCCTCTGTCTTCTTCTCATGCTTAGCTATCCACCATGCAGCTAGAAATTCCTGTATACTCAAGTGAAGGAACTGATACTTCTTCTCATCATATTCTACAAACTCTGTGATTAAACCAAGATAGTCTTCTTTGACTGCCTCACTCAGTGACTGTAATTGATGTAATGAAAATGTCATACTAGTATTAGCTAGGTTAGTATAAGCTAATTGACATATCTCTTGTAAAGGTTTAGCTAATTGTGATGGTAATGAAGAAAGACTACCTAAAGTATGTGGGTCAATACCACGTCTATTAATATGTCTTCTGATAGTTTGTAGGATAAAGTTCTCATACAGTTGAGTGAGTGTTGTTAGTAAGTGTCCTCCTTCCTTACAATAAACTAAGATGACCATGGAACAGACTAGTGGTACATAACACAATGATTGGACATCATTTCGTACTTTAAGATCATTAATAAGTTTCACTGCTAGTTGTGAGTCCTTACTGCTTTGAGTAGTTGTGAATACTTTGTATTTGTCATCATCTTCTCTTACCTTATTCATGAGTTCTTGTGCTAGTTTTGTATCTTTTTGAAGTGTTTGTATAATTACTGTTGATATTTCTTTCTCAAAAAACCCAATGACCTGAACATGTCTACTGAGAGTATCCATTTTCAAAAGTAAAGAGGAGGCATAGCTACGAGAGGTAGTAATTACGGAACATTGGTCTAACTGTTTTCTATAAATGATGCTAACAACTAAAGAAGACTGTCTGAGCTGTTCACTTAGTTCATCCCAACCATCAAAGATTATCAGTAATCCTTCTCCATTTCCCTTCTCAAACCATTCAGCTACCTTGAGAACTTCATAACGTCTATACTCAAACAGGTCAGCTAGTGTAGTAGCTGTAGCTATCTTGCTATTCCTTAAAGGACAGTAAAGTACCAAGTCATACTGTTGATGTACAAGTGGTCCATTAGACCACATATTTAACAGTTTACGACAGAGTGTTGTCTTGCCAATACCAGGAGGACCGTCTATTACTACTCTGAGAGACAGAGAACTATCTGTGGGTTGGAGGACATCTTCAACACTTATCTCTTTGTTTTCAGTTAGTTTAACTGTTTCATCAACTTTTCCTCTAAGTAGATGCCAAGCTGATCCTGCTTGTGTGCTGTAATCTTGTTTTTCTACAAGTGCAAGTCTTCCAAAAAAATCTTTTCCAATTCTTGGTGGCCAGTCTGTAGCAACAATAGGTTGGTGTTTGTAGTGTTGTCTCATATTGTCAGCATATCCTTGTACATCATCAGGTATTGAACTAATGAGTTTAACTACATCAGACTGACCTATTGATCAAGATACATGTACATGTATTTGCAGCAAATAATTTATTACCTCTCATATTAGTAACTGGTGTATTGAATAAATCATCAACTGGTGATGGTAGTACAGTATGTGAAATGACATTATCAGGTATAGACCGACCTAATGTATTGAGATCACTAATAATTTACACACACACACACATACTCACCTAACTGGTGTAATATAGAGGTAGCAATATCTGTTAGTGAGCGATGTTTTTGGTTTATTAATACATGGCATATATCAATAAGATACTGCTCTGGATTAAGAGAGGATTCCAACTGTTGCTCAATGACATTCACAAGTTTACTAGATTTCTCATTATTTGTTAATCCTAATACATGCACCTCGTCTTTAGTTTGTTGTGGTATCAGTTCTTTAGCATACAGTGCATCAGTTACATTGCATAGATTCACACTAATAGCATGAACTAATTTATATGAATGACTCTGTAGTATATCTTTTCGTCCGTTACCTACAGTATAGTGTATCAGTTAATAATTGTTGTATTAAGTGCATGTTTACCTGATGTAGTACTAGTAACAGATTCATTAATAATTACAGAAGCTGAGGACGATACAGTAGGTACTGGTACAGTACTAGTAGGAGCATCAGTATTACCTATTATGTATTTTTAATTATAATAGATATAAATGCATGATCATACCTCCTGTACATTGATGTACTTGTAACTGATCATTAATAGTTTGCAATAAATTGATCTCTTCTCTTTTAGTTAATGCATTGAGTACATCTCTCCATGTTGCTGTAGGATTCTTCTTAAGCCATTTAGAAAAGAGGGCTCCTTTACTTTGTTCAGCATTTATTGAAAAGTCTTCAATCGTTGTAATATCTTGTTGTTTTATTCCAGGTAAGAGAAGACCAAATGGTTGCCAGTCAACAAGTGGTTCAAGCCATTGAAGTAATAGGAAAATATCAGGTTGATCATCAATCATAGGACCAGGATTGAGTTCAACATCTCCTGATAAGAGGAGGAGAAGTAAAACCAAATAGTAAATCACATCAGAGCTACTGCCAATAGTAGCTATAAACAAGACTAATGACTGGAGGCAGTGGATCATAACAGTAGCAGTAATTATACCTATTGTAAATACATTGTATGATAATATTATGTATTATACTGTTAGTTTGTTTACCAGTTGAAGGCGGAATAAAATTGAGCTTCATGCATGCATTTTAATAAAGATAAAAGAAGAGAAACAATAAGAGACAGAGCTGCTGGCAGTTTAGATGTCTTCTCTCCTGATGTAGATCTAGTACTGCCTGACTTGCTGTCTACTGCAGCTTTGAATGAGTGAGAGTGGCGGCCATTTGCTGGTCTACTGGCTTGACAGTAGTTCCATAGTCCAATACTTCCTCTCCATTGAGAAACATCAATCATCTTGTAATTATAAGTAAAGTATAATTAAAATGAACTATGATATGCTTACCTCTATCAGTATAAATGATCAACTTTTGTAAGATAAAGAAATGAAAAGATACAGTCAAAAGTACAAGCCAGGGGTACAAGCAAAGCCGGTACAAGCGCTGTTGCAAAGAAGGCGTGGCTCCTGAACCATAAGCTCCACCTACAAACCTAATTAGCTACACCTCCTAATCACTGTTTAGATCGAGGTCAGTTTAGATTGAGGCAGCATAATTTTTGCTAGTTTTTTATACTCTTCAATCAGTTATTGATCTTTTAGGTACTTATCAGTACCTTATATACTCGTATTGAATCAATTGGCAATGTGGCATGGTAACTGATAAAGGCATATTGAATTTGAGCATAGATCTAAATCTATGATAGTCTCATTCTATAGGTATTGGATCATGTCAGTACAGGGAGGATCACGTGATAGGTCACATGACTTGATATCAACTGCCACTCCTTGTGTGAACGGGTGGGAGTGTTCCTGGCACCCACTTCAAGTGAGAAACCATACCCACTAATGATTGCGTAATATTTATTTGTAAAGGTTATTTTTTATTAATGATACTTATCAAGTGTTTTGTGAACAAATAAATAAATTGAACTGACTCCGTCTAGAAGTTATGGCCATTTTTATGTTTAGCCATTAAAAAAATACCTTGTAATTATAATGTACCCATGTTTTTTCCAAAAAATGGCCCCAAAATCACCTCAAATTTTTATTACTTTTTTGTTACATATTTATGTCCTTATGCTACATGTATGTAGAAATTAAGTTTGAGGTGATTCTGACTTCATGCAATTTGTAAAGTTCCCTCTCTTCCATTCCACCATTTATGGTGTTTGTACATGTACATGCATGCATGTACATGTTTATTCCTACAGAGTCCCGTAAGGCACTGTTTGCTGATGGTATTGGAGAGAAATCAAAGAGTAATTATTTACTGACAATGCTGAAGGATATTACAGTTAGTTTATTAACCTACATATACATATACACAATGTATTTTCATTGTATTTGGTAGTGATAATGTATAGGTATATGCATGTATCATATTTAGCAACTTCTGCCAATCAGTAACAGTCTCAACTCTATTATTAAGAGTAGCCTCAAGCTTGTTATTATTTATTTTACACAGATGTACATGTACATGTATTTCTTAATTTTGTAGTATTTTTGTCTTCCTCTCCACTAGTAGTGTGTATTGGTGAACAGTTGGACAGATGGCACATGGTGTATTGTACACTGGTGAGGGAGTGTTCAGTAATGTAGTAAAATTGAGATACATCAAGATCAAGTCAAGAAGTATGTGAGAAAGAACGAGATGTGAGTATAGACAGACACGCTTACTAATTAATATTAAAATGCATGTAATGTCCTTATGCTGTGTAAAAAGTTGTAGCTGATTCTAATTGTTGCTACTAATTTTTAAAGTACCAAGTTTTGGAGGGAAAAGCAACCTACCATATGTGGCCAAGCATGCATGTTTTTGTTCCAAAATCACCCCCAAATTTTATTATGCACATTGATAGTAATTTTGCAGCCATGTAGCATTGGAATACAGCAAAATTGACAAAATTTAATTTAGGCAATTTCATTATTAATATGCCAATCTCCAAAATCAAACTCTGCCAACTTTTTCAGTATCAATTTTGATAAAGTGAGCCTGAAATAACAGTCAGACATTGGACAGTTTTTGACCATTTTGTTCAATTGTTCAATCAAACTCTACATCGCTTAACCAATTTTGTCTGAACAACATAATCTGTATAATAATTCATCATGCTTGATTCACAAAGCAAATTAATAGTTAAATAACATGCTTTATGAGCTGATACATGTAAGCACTGCAATACTGTACATTGCATTTGGAGCAACTATAAAAATTCATAAGAAATCCCTATTTTGTTTTGAATCAACTCAAACTTGATGCGCAGAATAAGGACATGTACATGTACATGTACATGTATATACATATACTTGTATGTATCAAGAAAAATTATAAAAAGTATCTCCTACCCATTTTGGCAATGTTAGGCCAACAACCCTATACTATATACCGTATAACACTTTATTTTGGTGGCGCTTTTGCTGTAAAATTGTAATTTGTGGTTTTTAATTTGGCGATTTTTATGTACACATGCATTACTGAGCATGCGCATTAATGATCAGCAGTTTTAATATTGGTGATTCTGCTTCTAAACTGCCAATTGCCAAAATAAAACTCCACCAAATTAAAGCGTTATACGGTAGTACAGAGGCTTTGGCCTAATTTATTAAGAATTTAAAATTGATGAAAAACCAAATATGATCAGAATCAGCTCAAACTTTCTGTACAACATAAGTACATGTATTTGTATCAGAAAAAATATACTGGTATGATTTAGTTGTAATGAATCAGGAAACTAGCTCCCACTAATTAACTATTATCAATACTTTAGGAGTGTGTACTCTTGCTGTAATCAACAGGATAATTATACTCAACTTTGAAGAGGACAAAGAGAAGAATAATGGACTATCAAATGATATAGAGAATGAGACAAAGTAAGGACATTGATTATGAATAATGACGGTAATGTTTTATAATTGTTGGTACATTTAATTGTATTGTTTGTGGGTGTGGTATTGTACATGTTGGTCTCGTACATGTGCATGTAGCTAGAAGAGTTGATGAAGTAAAGTGAGCTCCTTTTGAAAATACATGTATTAGCCTAAAGGGATTTGCCAAATTAACATCAATATTTGTACATTGTACGTGTGTAGTATCAGCATTATTATTAGTAGTAGTACTATTATTTTAAATATTATCCTACCCTTTACATGTATTACATGTACATTGTAGATGTAATTAGGTAATAGTATATTTTAATAGTAATCCTATCCCAGTACATGTACATATACATGTGTATTTATCCTCATTATCCTACATTGTACCCTGTACATTTACATGTAGTCATGTACACTTGTAGAGTTACAGTACATGTATATCATTAGCACATGCATAATTAGTCGTTATTATTATTTTTAATGTTATTTTTCTATCCTAGTATTTCTTTAGACGTTATTGATTCCAAAAAAGAAGCACAAACACAAAAAACTTAAAAACACAAACACAAGAATCATCACAGAAGATCCATTGAGGAAGATACTGACTGTCATAAGACTCACTCAACTAAAAGAGATAAGAACGAGTCCTCTCAGAATGGCCACTCCTCACTGCTAAATGACTCCACCGATTTCTCATCATTCCTTGGAGGTCACTAAACAAACATTACACTTTTTCATGTTTTCTTATAGATTATGGCTAGACCAGTCAGAACTATTACAAGTAATGCTACATTTCGAAGTGTGGCAGAGGAAGGGTTGAAAGAGAGTGCAGAACCGCTGGGTAAATTTGGTATCTTACACTGCCATTGCTTTTATGTAAATGTAGATTTTGTATCTGTGGAAAATATATATCTGGCACAGAATTAGGTGTCCCAAGAGAAAAGTCTTGTCTTTGTCAAACAAGCGGTCATCATAGAGATGGTCACCATAGCAGCCATCATGCTCGCCTGAGAGGAGAAGGCGTTTTTGTTTCCTGTGACAAATATCTCACTTTCCATGATTGAAGCCACCAAGGAGATTGAAAGTACATGTGCATTGTATTTCATAGATGGCCATCACCAGGGATATCACCTACGTGTAGGAGGTGATAGTGACCACAGGAACGTTCCCCATTCCCCAATCAAGATGATCTCATTCTACTTGAAGGAGAGAGAGGAGGAGGGAGGAGAGATTATGATAGGACCTCCCCTGGTAGGAGGAGGAGGAGTAGATCAATGGAGAATAAGAGATCAAACTCAACTAAGAAGAAGTAATGTATAATGATAATTATACAAATAATGCTATACTAGTAATAATGATAATACAAAATATGTACATGTACATGTGCAGTACATTGTACATGTAATATGTAAATAGAGTATCCAATTGAATGAATATTTTGAAGAGCTTTAATTTCATGGTTGCATGCTAATCCATGAAAACTGGCTAAGTTTTGGTTCTCAAGCACTATACAGTATTGCACTTTTCTCATTATTAATTAAAATAACTTTATTTAATGTACTTTAGTCTGGACTGGGCCAGACTAAATGTACTTGTAGGAGGAGCAGATCAGTTTCAAGAAGGAGAAGGGATGATCCCCTCTCTCTACTAGGAGACCAACCAGTCCTACCAGGAGAAGGTCTCGTTCCCCTATAGACACAGTCCTTGCTCACGGTCACCATGATGATAACCTCGTCATTGTAGGAGGACTCTCCCATGTAGGAGATCTCGTTCTTCTCTGGGGCAGTCATCAAGGAGACAGGATAGATGAGGGACCTCACGTGAGGGGAAGAGAGAGGAGAAGGAGAGAGACTTTGAAGAGGAGGAGTGAGTATTAACAGTAATAGTCATCCTACTGTACATGTACATGTACATGTATATTACAATTAATTTTTAAAGTTGTTCAAAAATTGCCTGTACAAATTGCCTGTCCTTTGAGTCGAATTTGAATAGTAGAAAATTTTTTCTCCCCCAATTTTAATATCATTTTCTAATACATATTTATGTTCTAATTTGTTCTTATGCTGTGTAGAGAGTTTTAGCTGATTCCAAATTTAATTTTTAAAGTCATCGCCTTTTTTAATTGCCGATTTTTCAAGGCTACAGCCATAGTTTTTCTAAAAAGTGGCTCCAAATTCACCCTGATTTTAATTTCATCTTCTGCTACATGTTGATGTCCTCATGCTGTGTAGAAAGTTTGAGCCAATTTTGATTTCAATTTTTTAAATTATAGTCTTTTTCAGAAATAGACAAAATTAAAATACCCAAGGTTTTTTTGAAAAGTTAGCTATGAAATCACCTCAAATTTTTATTACGTTTTTTGATACATACATGTACATATCTGAGCTGATTCCGATTTCAATTTTACAAGTTTATGAGTTTGTAAGAATTACCAAATTAAAAAATGGTTCGGAAATTATTCAAAATTTTTATTACATTATCTGCCACATATTGATGTCCTTATGCTATGTAGAAAGTTTGAGCTGATTCCGACTTCAATTTTTAAAGTTACAGCCATCTTAAAAAAGCGCTACAAATGTGAAAATTTCCCAAGGCTAGATATACATGTATATACCGGTATAGCCTATGGTTTTGTGAATTTTGTCACCCATCCCTTTTCTGATACATATTGTTGAGTACAGTATTATTACCACTGCAGGCTAGGTAAGTCAGAGTTGCTACCCATTAGGTTGATGCCTCCTGAAGCTATTATGTTGTGTAAATTCACAATAGACATCAGTGACGTATGGTCCTATACAATGTAGTGTAGTACTGTAAGAGATATTCTCATATGGTATTCAACCTTACTATGGAATGAGCAATGAAGAAGTGATTAAATATGTACAGACTGATAATGTATTGAGAAGACCTCAAGGAACACCACAAGTAAAAGACTAATGATAATCTAGAGTACATTATATAGAGTACATTATATGTACTAGTAATTATAATGATGATATTACGAAAGGGAGCTAGGGGAGGTAGTCCTGACTATACTTGTGCACTAGTGTAGTAAGAGGATACTACAGTGCATTGTTGGAGGATAAAGGTATTAATATGGTAGTATACCTGTCCATTCCAGACACCTTGGGACCGAATAATACCTTCCTGATTATGAACCTGTCCTTATTTCAGAGGTTCATTAATGCACATAACTATTGTATTGGGACTGATACTACCTAATTTGATTACAGAGGTGTCCTTATTTTAGAGTGTCCACAATAGGAGTAGGTTATACTGTATTAGGCCTGGTTCACAATTATGACACTAGGCCAACGTAACATCAATTTTTAATCAAAAGTGTGGGCGATTTGACCTTTTGATGCATGCTTTCCGCTGGAATCGATCCAGATTTGATTCCAGCGTCAACGTAACGTCAGGACTAGCGTAATATTGTGAACCAGCCTTTACTATTACTATTCACTTCAATCCTACTACTATAGTAATAGTAGTAGCGATGGTTGGAAACATATCAAGTGGTCTTTTTGGTGATACTGCAGATTACTTCATATTTCTTGCATTTCATAAAGGAAATTTTGATCATTTCAAACCAAAACTTCCTAAAGTATTTTTTGCAAAGTGTGGAACTGAAGTTAAACGATTAGTAGTAGACACTTATAAACCATTACCTCATGATATTCTTAATGGAATCAAGCAGAATGAGTCGGGATATGATACATCTACTCTACCACAAAATGTAATTGAAATAAAATTCTACAGGTGTCGGCATATTGTTGATACTGTTACAATTTGTACTTCACAGTACTAGTGTGTGCATTATGTTGATGTTAATTAATAACTACTATTGTTTAAATTAAAAATTATCTCATGATATTTTTATGATAGCATTCAGTGGAAGAGGAGGCTGAATAATTTGCAGAGTCACGACAGCCAATGCAGTACATTCTCTATTGTTAGAGCTGCCTCTCTTTTTGTTAACTATGACTATACCACTTCTATTTACTTATCAATTGTCAATTCCATTCCAAAATATTTTGTCCTCTGTTCTAAATATTTCGTACTCATTTCTTTTCTTCTTTCTCTCTCATTGTATTATTGTTGTTTATATATTATTATTATTTTATTATTATTATTTCTTATACCCATTTTCATTTTGGAAATATTATTATTGTTATAATGCACACACATATTTTCATTTTGGAAATATCATCTTGTATTATATTATTATAATGCACACGCATTCATTTTAATTTTTTCCCTATGGAAGTAAACTTAAATGAAGAAAACTATATTATTATTATTATTATTATTATTATTATTATTATTATTATTATTATTATTATCATTATTATTATTATTATTATTATTATTATAATTCAGAGTGATTATTGAAATAAAACTATGGACGTTTACAATTATCAAAAATAATAATGTTATAAGTATGCACTACTAGATAGTGTCATTCAACTTGTAACTCTAACAGTGTAAATTGTAATAAGCTGATGTTGACTGGAGCAATGTTCTTAAAATGATGGACATTTTTAAAGAAACATTAAAAATTTTTATTAACAGCATAAAAAATTATATAAAGCAGCAAATACATTATACTACTATTAGTTTTAGCAATAGACACGGTAATTATAATAATAAATTTAAAAAAGCACAGGTACTAAAATACTAATAATAAGTAATATCAATGCATATAAACACATTCAATAAAAGTTAATGTATAAAAGCTATGGCATGTAAAAGAAATCTCATTTCAATAAAAAGTGGAGCAGAAACAAGTACACAAACTATTAATGCTCATAAACAATACAACATAATATACAATACAACAATGAATGATTTATAATAAAAATAAGAAATAAATAAATACTGAGCATTACTTTACTGTAAAAAAACATCATCAAAAATAGAAAAAATTGCCCTGCTGTGAAAATGAAAAAATTACCCAACAAGAAGTCTCCATTATTCCATTATTATTCCATTATTTTATAGTAATAATGATAATACAAAATATGTACACGTGCATGTGCAGTACATTGTACATGTAACATCTAAATAGAGTATCCAATTGCATGAATATTAGGAAGAGCTTTAATTTCATGGTTGTATGCTAATCCATTAAAACTGGCAAAGTATTGCTTCTCAAGCACTATACAGTATTGCACTTTTCTCATTATTAATAAAAATTACATTATTTAATGTACTTTAGTCTGGACTGGGCCAGACTATATACTAGTAATTAATGATGACATTAATAAAGGAAGGGGATATACTTAAGGTAGGGACTATGCTTGTCAACTAGTGTAATAAGAGGATGCTACAGTACATGTATATTGTATGGAGGATTAAGGTATTCATATGGTGTTATATATATCTATTCTGGACACCTTGGGACCCAATAATACCCTAGCTCCTGATTATGAGCCTGTCCTTATTTCAGAGGTTCATTAATACCAAGTAACCCTTTATGTTCTTGTTAATAGACATTTATATGGTATTGGGACTGATACCACATGTACCTGTCCTGATTATACAGGTGTCCTTATTTTAGAGTGTCCACAATAGGAGGAGGTTATACTATATTACTATTACTATTGACTTCACTCCTACTACTGGTTCATTCTTTAATGTTATATTACAATACAGTCATTATGTATCATCAGTATGTATAATGAGTGGGCCTGTATCTATTTATTATATTAGGAGATATACGATCTTATGTTGGACTGTTGGGCCATTAATTGTACTGACAGATCTAAAGCTATTGAAATATTTAATGGCCTATAAATATCTAAGAAACAAGGTACAGCAGTTATTTCTATTAGAAAGAATTCCCACATAAATTCACTTAATACAGCAGGAATGTGCTATAAAAACATACTTAGCATGCACATTCAACCTTATATGCTTCCCTAGTTACACATTTATTACTCACTCTCTCTCTCTCTCTCTCTCTCTCTCTCTCTCTCACTCAGGGTGACTGCATAGTACATAACATTAAATCAAAGAAATACAACCTCAACCTCATTAATCACACCGTCATTATTGTCATCGTCATTAACTGATACTTCTGGTGTTAATACTACAGCACCAGTGATAAACTCAATCTCCTCATTATTGTCGCCTACTAATCATTATGTATTGATGTAGATAATGAATAATGAAAAAATCTATTGGTAGTTGTATAATGGAATTGATAATAGGTGAGATGGGAGAGAGAGGGTGGAGGTTAAATGAATGAAAGGGAGAGAGAGGGAGAAAGTAGATACAAGGAAATAGATACATGTAACTGTATATACATGGACATGTATGGTATGGTATGTACATGAAATGATGATACTATTATATAAAATTTACTTTTTATTTCTTTCATTTTCTAGTATTGTATAGTTGGAAATTTTGGGGGAAATTAAATTTGGCGTTTTGATAGCCATCACCAAAATTAAAATCCATTATTTTTAGCCATTATGCACATGCTCAATGGAATGTGGCCAAAAAATTTGCCAAATTAAAACCTGCCAATCACCAAAATTTAGCAATTTCCCAAATTTTATTCACTTCAAAATTTTCCGCTATACAGTACTTCATCTCCTCCAGTCCATTCACATATGTTGTCATGGTAACAGAGAGATAATTTTGAGTCAGAGATAAAGAGAGAGTTAATAGAGAGAAGAGAATGGGAACACAATCATGTTACAAAACAGTAACTAGAATAGTATACCATAATGTTTATTATTATTGTATATTTATAAATTAATAATTGTTATTTGTTGCTGATACAACTTGTTGACTGCACCCATTTACTATGATGATGCATCTTTAGTAACAATAACAGTTAACCATAGTTGGAAGGAGTTCATCATGTTAGTTACTATTCCTATAATTCTGTAAAAGTAACTCTTGGCCTAATAAATGTATTAGTACAAGTTATAACCACAGCACAGTATATAACATTGAAGAGATATTTGGACTTGGTACACTGAATTTGAATTATTGCAGTGGTCGTTCCTTTGAACAGGAAATAAGTAAGTATATATAATGGTATGTATAACGGTAAGTTATACAAACAAGAACTACTACGATATGTGTGATATGACTTTATTCGTGATCACTCACTGGTACACTATGTTATGACAAAAGAATGATGTGGAGTCAGCTAGGAGCACACAAATACTCCCACATTCTTAGCTCAGTTTGTAAACTTTGTAATTTACCGTTCAGTGCATAAAGTAAGTGACAATGGTTGATGTCTCTCAATGGAGAGCAAGTATTGGACTGTGGAACTACTGTCAAGCTGCCTCCAGTAGACCAGCTAATGGCCACCACTCTCACTCATTCAAAGCTGCAGTAGACAGCAAGTCAGGCAGTACTAGATTAGGAGAGAAGACATCTAAACTGCCAGCAGCTCTGTCTCTTATTAATGCTTTCCTCCTCCTCGTCTTTCTCTCTCTCTCTTTATTGAGACACATCTTGATGATTCCTCCAACAGGTAAACAACAATTGCAACTTTGTACTTGTATATTTACTGGTATTTTATTATTAGGTAACTGCTACCAAGTACAGTGTACTACTGGTGTTACTGTTACTGATACAAATTACCTCCAGTCAGCAGTCTTACCTAGAGGCAGCAGTTCTAACCTGATTTACAATGATCTCTATTTGATTGTTTGTCTACGTATGCTCCTCCTCTTATCAGGAGATGTTGAACTTAATCCTGGTCCTATGATTGATGATCAACCATCTTGTATTTTATTTGCAAAACATTTAGAGCCACTTGTTGATTGGGAACTATTTGCTCTTTGTCTTCCTGGTGGGATAACACAACTTGATGTTGATATAATTAAAGGGAAAGGAAGCTCTTACCTCAGGATGGAGGCTTTACATAAGGGATGGTTACAAGTTAATCCTACAGCATCATGGAGAGATGTCATTAATGCTCTGAAACAATGTAAAGAGAATGAACTAGCTAAAGATATTGAACATCAAATGAAATTGTTTACTGAAGAAGATGATGATAATATGGAAACAACAATTAGTGACACTACATCAGGTAAATATAGTTTGAAGTTTAATCATTATTTACTTCCTATTAAAAAGATGATACTCCAACTTGTACACCAGTGATATTGTCATCAGTTTCTGTAAAGAAATCTACTAGTATTGCATCAGGTAAATATACAGACATGCATAGTACATGCCACTTCATTATCTACTTTAGTTGATTTGAAAGCTATATTAAGAACTCATTCTAGTAAACTTGCAAATAGTATTTGTGAGAAACTTTTTAGAATAACAAACGAGCTTCATGCTGCAAAATTAGTACCAAAACTGTTTAGACGAGAGATGCTTGTAGCAGCAGTTGATAATTATACTAAAGCTGCCAACCTTATAAACATCATTGAACAACAGTTGGAATCCTCTGATAATCCAGAGCAGTATCTTATTGATGTATGTCATGTATTAAAAAACCAACAACATCGTACACTAACAGATATTGCTACCTCTATATTACACCAATTAGGTGAGTGTTTTCTTTTCTTTATTAGCAAGAGCTGATTGTCTTTTTATTAGAAAGTACTGAAAGTAATGATGTTATTTACCAAATGCACAACAAGCATTCAGGTAAGGAAGCTGCTAATGATTATAATAATGAACATTGTACATGTTATAGATAAAATGCATGATCTAAAAGATGTATGTGGAATAAAGGATATAGTATTTCCTGTTGATCGTCAATTGATAAATTGGGAAGAATATGGAATAAGGATTAACTTTCCTAAGAAATATTTGTCATCAATGGGAGCTCACCTAGCAGTACATGTGACTCCACTTGCAGGTGGAAAGTTTGCATTTCCAGAAAATACAATTCTTGTTAGTACAGTGTATGCTGTATCTACCTCGATTCCTATACCAATGAGACTCGAGCTGCAGCATTGCATTGATCCAACTATGACACGTTACCTTAAATTTGCCACTGCATCTATAAATAGCTGTTCTCCTTATCAGTTTTCATTTAAAAAAGAAGGGAAATTTCAATCTGACAGTTGGTATGGGTCTTTCAATTTTGATGCAAATTGTTTTATATGTATTTTGGGATTAAAAGAAGTGCCTGAAGACGATAAAGGAAGCAAACAAAAGCAAAAAGGTCATGCCATGTGCACTAATAGACCTGATGCACAACAAAGTGAAGGAGAGGAGTCTGAAAAGAAAAGAAGAGATGACAAATCAACTGAAAATGGACAATCACCTTCTACTAAAAAATCAATTGGTGTTGAGGAGCGCTCAAGTAAGTTTAAAATACTATTTGTTAATAATTAATTATAATTCATTTAAAGCTCAAACAACTCATTTAGAAGAGTTTGTAGCTTTTGTAGGATTGCTTTTTAAAAAAGAAGAAAAAGATAAAGATATTTTCAGATTTTTTGCTGTCAAAAATTTAAATGCCCTTCTTAAGGTAAGACGTGACATTATTTAGATAAAATTTTGTTAACTGGTATGATCTATTGTAACCTTTTCATCATAGTATAAGGGAGAAGAGCATCCTGATTGGGGAAAAGAAGACCAGTATTTTTACTTTAATTTTAAAGATGAATATATTGAATTGAAGCTCAATGCTGAACAAAAGGAGCAAATAAAAGGATGGCATATTAAGCCTCATAAAACACCCAAAGTATGTAAATTTGATTCACTAGTATTTTATTATTATACTTTCAGTTAAAACGTTGTTTTGTAGAAAACTTTGGTAACAGTATTATTCTTCCTCCATTAATTCTCATAACAGTACATGGTTCACCTGATGCTGTATCTGAAAAACTATATTATGCTGTACCAATAGAGGGTGTGGAAGAGCCTGAAACTATA